TATACATTACACACTCTTTTCAGAAAGGTTGTTATTGCTCTGCCAAGGAAAAAGAAGTGATGGAGGAAGTGAAGGAGAAAAATTGGAGAATGGAAGCGGAAGAGAATCTGCAGAGGTTGCAATCTCTTCTGTTGGGTGCGGAACACGCTCTAGCAAACAAGGACTTCGCCTCCGCTTACGTCCTCGCGCTTCGTCTTCTCGGCTTCCTCGACGTGAAGTCCCACTCTGACGCTGTCGATGAGGCCTTCCTTCAACCGACTCGTCGCGACGCACTCTCCAAGCTCCACACCGCTCGCAGATCCCTCACCCCTCAATCTGATCGGTGCGTTCTTTTGGCAATGATTTGATCATACTCTTGAATAGTGAATGTTTTGCTTGAACTTCTTGGTTTAACCGACGATGCTGAAAAACTTAAAGAATTCGGTGAAAATCAAATGGCCTAATTAAGTGTGCTGTACAAGATTAATTCGCTTTTACATATGCGCATCTTCGGAAAAAAAATGTGAAACAGACTTTTTCATAACTTGAAATTAGTTTATGCATAATAATTTAGTCGGTTGAAGTTATGTGAGTTGTTTTTCTTTTCTTTTTTTAATTTTTCTCATTTAAAATTTTTTAGGAAAAAAATTTATCTAGAAGTATAGGTTTTGTAGAATTTTTCGAATGACAACATGTGAAGTCATATTAAATGCAAATTTTTATTACTTTATGGTGGAGTTTTTTTCATTCTGCATAGATATTAAAGCCATAAAAAAATATTTATCATACAAGTTTATTTTAATAATTTCCACTCCTTAAATTGTAGGTGTAGCTGTAATATAGTTGATTTTGCAGTATCCGCAACCAGATCTAAAATTGAGGAGTGAATTATATTATAGTTTTATCGTTGTTCCAACTTAACTTTAATCTTTTGTACTTTAATCACACTAAAATGATGTAACCACAATTCTGGTCACCATACCGGTGGGGAGAATTAAAAATTCTTGATGTCGTAGCGGCAATTGTGGTTGCAAATAGATTTTAGACCCTTGAATATTAGTTAACTTTCCCATCTGTTCTGGTATCCTTTTTCTGTTGTTGTCTTTGTGCTTCTGAATATTTTGGTTCCTTTTACTTAACTAGGCAAGCTTTTGAGCAAGCAAAGAAATCTCCAGGATACATTTTTGGCACAACAGGAGATATTGACATTGAGAAGATTCGGAATTCAAAGTACTTCCGTGCTCTTGTCAACCAATCTAAAGAAAAAGATGCGTATAAATTGGTAAGACATTATGACAATCACAGTTATTAAAATCAATTTATTTATTCTGTTCCTCGGTATTCTTGACATCATGATTTATGAATACAAGATTTCTTTTCTTAAAAAAATTATTATTTCAGGTTGATCACCCGGGGAAACAGGGCAAAACGGGCAGCAAAGCCTCGAAGCAAATGGTGCAAACGAAGTTATCATCCATGTATGGGAAAAGCAGTTTGTGGACTAGCAACTGTTCCCAGAGTTCTTTGAACATGAAAAAGTACAGTTCTGAGGATTGCAGGATTCTTGGTAGGCCTCAATCTCAAGCCAGCCATACAAAGGGTCCTGGTGTCTCTTCTATCTTTCAAGTTGAAGGAGAAGAAAGAGCTTTTGGAAACACATTCTCAACCAAACGTGTACACGTGGAAACTAATAATCTCAGAGTTGGATACTTGAAGTCACCTTCAAATAAGGACGAAGTTCACCCTGATGTTTGTGGCAAAGGGTTTATTACTGCTAGAGCAAAACTGGTATAATTAATTCACCTTATTTATCTACTATATGCGTTTTTCTCCCAATGCGTCTGACAATTATGAGCGTTTTATTTCTATTTTATCAAATTGGGTGCATGAATTTGTAATTTGTCTTTATAGTGATTGATATGAAAATACTGCTTGTTTGTTTCTGTACATGCATTTTGCTAGTTCCTGCCGATATATAGGAACTATGGTTGCAAAAATTAGATAGAAAAAACTAGTATTGAATTGATTCTCTTACCTAAATATATTTGTGGAATCTAAAGTTGGATTTCTTTTTCTCTCTTCCCTTACCTTCTTTTTCCTATCAATGGGTATTAGTTGGGTTTGATCCAACTAGGAGTCTCATAATTGATTCTATGTGCAAGGTGTGGTGATAAAAGAAATGGAAGAACGTATATCTGGTTGTTTGGCAGAGTTAGCTGACTCCTCCAACTCAGTATCACTTATTCTTTGAAATTGTTCAAGAATTAGTTAACTAATCTTCTTTCGGTAACTTGAATTCTTTTAATAATTGAGGCATTTCAAGAGCTAATCCGTGTTCTTGTGGTACAAGATTAGCAAGCATTGACTTCCTGGGATTTAATGGGGACAATGTTTATCAATGGCTGTATCAATATGAATTTTTTCCTATTTGATCATACACACGAGGATTTTTAGGTTGTATTAGTTATAGTCTATTTGAAAGCCCGCACGTTACAATGACACAGTAGACATTTCTTCTTTACTTTCTTGGATGACTTATAGTGCCATGATGAAAGAGGGATTTGGAGATGCTTATGTGGACTCCATGACGGATTTGGTAGTTACGATGACAGTGGATATTTCTTCTTTACTTTCTTGGATGACTTATAGTGCCATGATGAAAGAGAGATTTGGAGATGCCTGTGTGGACTCCATGACGGATTTGGTAAAGCTTCGCCAGATGACATATATGATTGAATATCATGAATCCTTTGAAGCAATTATTAATAGCTTAAACCTTTTTGAACAATATATGTTTAATTGTTTTCTTGAAGATTAAAGGAAGATATTTAAGTGTTGGTGCGTATGTTTCAGCCCATGACAGTACAAAAAGCTTGTGTTAGTTGGGATGTACGAAGTGGCTAATACATCTCTGTCACTGGAATCTTTGTGGCAATTCAACAAGATTGGCATATTAGGGCCTAAACTAGTACCACCGGTGAAGTCTTTTGTGATTCAATATTTTGAAACTCGTAAGCCTTATGCTCAACATGAACATTGACAACAACTTTTATGAATGAAAGAAGTGCCAATGATCTTTGTTACTTTTGTGATGAACCCTATACTGTGGGACACAATTTGATGCACAAAAAATTACAAGAAAGGCTTAAGCGATTAATAATTGCGTCAAAAGGCTTCATGATATTTAGTCACTAATGCTTTCTGCTGGAGTTTCGTCAAATCTGCCATGGGGTCCATATAGACATCTCCAAATGTCTCTTTGATCAGTTGTGAAATTTTGTCCACACCATGTGCCATTGTAATGTGTGGCCTTCTAGATGGACTATAGCTAATTAAACCAAAATATCCTCATGTATATGATCATTTAGTATAATGTTTTCATTGATACTATCATTGGTTGACATTGTCTCCATTGAATCACGGAAAATCAATTCGTGCTGATATTGTATCGCAGGAATAAGGACGAGCTCTTGGATTGTCTTGTTTATTAAAAGGTCAAGTCACCAGAATTGGTTAACTAATTCTTGAACGGTTTCTTTCAAAGAATCAGTTATAGTGTGCTGGTGGGAGTCAACTAGCTCTGTCAAACAAGCAAAAAGATGTTCTTCCATTTCTTTTATCATCACAACGTTGCATGTAGATCAGCCATGAGATTGCTAATTGACCAAACCCAATTGATAGGATAAAGCAGGTAAGGGAAGGGAGAAGAAGTCTAGGTGTTCAAAGCAACAGGAAGAGATACAAAAATGGGAATCCAACTTCAGATTCCACGGATATATTAAGGTAAGAGAAAAAAAGAATTCAATATTGGGTTTTTCTATATCTTATTTACAACCACAGGTCCCAGGATTAGAACGTGACTATGTTACATGTTGAATATAGTGAAAAAACTATGTATGAGATTAATTTTCCATGTGTTGAATATACACATAGGGTACTCTATTTATAATAGAAAAAATATGAACTAAGTTCAAAATACAAATAAAGAATAATAACAAACTAACTAAAGATAAAAGATAAAGATAAAATAAAGATAATATATTTGACAAGGTAGGAAGAGACAAAATTCATGTACAAAAACAAACTGGTGGTATTCACATCAATAGCGTGCTGAATTTTTCATGTTCTTGTTATTCTCCTAATGATGTATTCTAGATGGAAACCTAAACATTATTTTTTGTAAGGAAACACCCTTAAAAGGGTGATCACATACCCTCTATTATTGAGTGGCTTTCAAACAAGATTTCTAGTAAAATAGATGGAATACCCATTATCATGACTTCTATTCCTTGCGCCAATTTCTTTGCACATAACAATGTTGAAGCCCTTAAATTATTGGTTCAGGAAATTGAAGAAAAGCAGAAGCGAGGAGCAGGTGGTTCACCCTGTAACTCTGTCTCACCGCAGTGTGATAACAGTCCTGCCAACAGGTTACATGGTGGGAGATCATATAGTATTTCACGACGTGGTTTCCGTAGTAATTTTGTTCCCCCTATAAAATCCAATGGGAATAATGCTGGAAATATGAGTGCANCACGACGTGGTTTCCGTAGTAATTTTGTTCCCCCTATAAAATCCAATGGGAATAATGCTGGAAATATGAGTGCACGAAATGCTGGAAAATGTGATGATTCTTTAGATGAATCTACAAGGAAATGGTTAGAAGTACAACCATCATATTACTCCTCAAATTCATCTCGCTATTATCTTCCCTAACCCATTCATTCTCTTTGCGCAGGACATTCCAATGTCCAAATGACAATATTATTTCAAACTTTTTCTGGACATTTTCTCATAAAGAATATCGATTTCACTATCTGCTCATCTATATAACTATCAGAGGGCATATCTACCCTTACCTGAAATCACTATTCTAGTCTCTAGGTCTTTTATGTACGGGATTTAATTTGTGACTATTTCCTTCATCCCTGCACAAATATTAACGTAGTGACTTTTTCTTGTCTTTATTTTTAATTATAGGTACATGAGACTAGATCCCAGGAAATAGTTGATCTCAATCATGTTTAATGATCGGTTGGATAATATATGCAACTTCCTTATATACTTCTTATGCTTGTAGTTTGGAAATCCTGTGTGGTCCTGATGGTGAGCTTCCAGAGAAATTGAGGAATTTGGAACCTCGCCTCATTGAACATGTTAGTAACGAGATCATGGATAAAGATCCCAATGTCCGGTGGGATGATATTGGTAAATATCAAAACCTTGTTGTCTTTATACTCAGCTCACCAAAATGGGATATTGCACAATTATGAAAATAAGTATATGTCGTTTAATAATAATGTAGCTGGATTGGAGCATGCCAAGAAATGTATTGATGAGATGGTAATATATCCTTTGCAACGTCCTGACATATTCATGGGCTGCCGTTCACCTGGGAGGGGTCTTCTTTTGTTTGGTCCACCAGTAAGTACAAATATCTCCTGTGATGGTATAAATTGCCAAGACTGGTCTTTAATATCTCTTATGTTTTGAATGCTAGGGAACCGGTAAAACAATGATAGGAAAAGCCATAGCAGGGGAGGCGAAGGCAACCTTCTTTTACATATCTGCAAGTTCGTTGACTAGCAAGTGGGTAAGTTTGTCGTGCTTATGATTTAGCTGTCCTATTTTGAAGGTTTTCTGATATATTCGTGTCAAGTTTAATCAATAATTGAAGTTGAATTCCGTAAAGGGGCTCAGGTCAAGTCAGGTTTGGCCGGTGTGTTTTTTGTTTTGTTAGAACCTGAATTGATTAATGGAGATAGCAATAGGACAACATATGACATAATATTGATAACAAATATTGTTAGAACAGATTTTGATATTATTTTAGATAATGTACCTTAAATTTAATTCAACTTCACAAAATTGATTTTTAAGATAAAGTTTGCATTCACTTTTATACTATAATTTGATTTATATGTAGTTAATGTGAGATCTCCAATATATTATTTCATGTTAGGATCAAATATCTTTAGGGTGAGAATAAAGGTGGTCTAATAATGACTCAGTCGTAGTTGATAGAATAGATATACTATAATTTAATCAAATATCTAGTAGATGTGAGATGACTTGAGAAAAATACAAAGGAATTATGATCCATTTGAGAGATTGAATTTCCTGCCTTCTATCCTCTTACCTTAGATCCTATCACACAATGTTCCCACCACATTTTCGTTTGACATACGCACCACAACCTACCACACTATCTCAACTAAAAACTACAACTTTTTAAACTTCACTCGGAGAAGCAAGGGTCACAACATTCCCTTCACAATCTTCACCTGATGCATTTTCCCAACCAACATTTGTCACATTATCCACCGTTATAGCAACAACTTCTGTAACTTTCTCAGCAACAAATACAACATTGTCTCCATCACAGTTTTTGTCTTTGCCTTCCTCTTTACATATATTCTCTTGTCTCCTGTCTTGCCTTCCAAATCCTACAAAACAATCAACACTCAAAATAACAGCTTGTGACACTCTACTCCTCGAAATAATGGTGATAACATTCCCCTCATGGTCTTGGTCTCCACTGGTATCCTTCTCTTTTCTTCTCCCCATAGATTAAATTATCTCCTCCATATGAGGGTTTCTTTGATTTCTTGATGTCTTGCAGACTATCTTTCCCAACAACCTTTTTTACCTCTTTCTTTCCTTTCATGATGTCATGAAGAAATTCCTCTCTCCCTTTCTTGCTCTGTCAACAAATTTCTCCCTTCCTTTTGAGTCCCTTTCTTGATTCTGGTATTCCCGTAACATTTCTTTCAATTATTGGAAACCTTTTCTCATCTCTTGCCTAAGTCCTCTTGATGCTTCCATCCTCTTATCCAGTTCATTGGTCCCCCTCTCCAAAGTATTGTCGCTTCCTTGCATGCTTTCCCTCCTTCTTGAGCTGGCAGGTTGGACCAATTTGTTAAGAACCCAAAATGGAAAAGAGACAAAAGAGTAATATTTTTTTTTTATAGAAAAGACTGAAAATAATACAAAATAAGAGAGCACTCTCTCCTCCAAGGGTTTCCTCTTCACAAAGAGCTAAAGCTCAATCTATAAATTATCATCCTCCCTTCCAAGGAATTGATTCGTCTAATTATATGGACCAACTCCCAACTTACAGCACTGCCTCCACTTATATTTCCATCCCTTCCTTTATTCACTGCTTTCTTTATTCTTATATTCTCAGATAACCTTTTCCACCGCTTCCTTTTATTTTTCCTTCTACCACAAGCCTTCCATATCCTATCAGGTTCCATAGTGACTTAATAGCATGTGCCGATATATTCAACACACTTTAATAGCATGTGACAATATATCAACACCCTTTTGTTAAATAGACTTTGATGTCATTTTAAAAAGTGAACTTTAGAAAAATACAACTTCACCATGCTAAAAGGAAGTGAAAAAACTAGAAGATAGGGGAAAGCTATGCGAAAAATTGAGAAAAAGAAAGAAATAAAATGTGCACAATCCATGCACCAAGTGTGATGAGTAAAAAGGAATCGACTACTTGGTTTCTCTGTTTCGGTTCTAATATACCATAATAAAGTTATAAAATCGTTTTGATATTGTAACTGATAAAGTAGGATCTGTTCTCAGGTCGACTTGATTGAGTTACTCATTCCCTGACCCTACTTCATCTATACAATATGGATAGGGTCAAGTCAGTTTTCTTGTGTTGGTTTGACACATTTTGACTCATGCAAAACTTAGACATCTGTGCTTTTAGTTAGGTCGTGTAACAATAATTTCAAAAACTGTTGAAATGTTTCTTAATACCCTCAAATGGTTCCTCCTTATGATTACTTTAGATTGGTGAAGGTGAAAAGCTAGTGAGAGCCCTTTTTGGAGTTGCCAGTTGCCGTCAGCCTGCTGTAATTTTTGTTGATGAAATAGATTCTCTCCTGTCTCAGGTATGCTATGTTATATTATAGCCAATAAAAGCAATGTGGATTTATTGCCATAGTAGTTTCTCTGACATTATGAGCCATAGCAGTATCGTCTATGAGGAAGTACTAACATGCAAATTAACCTATTTACTGTAACTACGCCATGAAAAATTTCTCTCTTCATTTAATGCAAATAACTTGTTACAGCGTAAATCAGACGGTGAGCATGAATCCAGTAGACGTCTAAAGACACAGTTTCTCATTGAAATGGAAGGCTTTGACAGTGGTAGCGAGCAAATTCTGCTTATAGGTTATTGCTGACTCACTGGGTTCAAATTCCTTTTTTATTTGGCTTTGAAATACGATCAAATTTTAGCTTACAACCTGTTTCTTTCGTGATACGGCCTTAATTCCACAATATTTATGATTTCATCTTTGGCATTTGAAGTGTTTTAGTAGACTTAATACATTTGATGCATTTGAGCATTAACACTATATATCCGCTATCAGCGACAATGAATCAGAAAACATAAGCCTATGATGTAATTTCTCATGCTTTCTCAACCCCTTTTTTGTTTCTTTGTATTTGTTGAAAAGGAAGGAAAATGTCAAACTTAATTTTTTTTTCTTGAAATATGAGGATTAAGTTTATTTCAGTAAAACCTTATAAATCAATATAAAGTTGTCATGTATGTTACCTAATTATAAGAATATTTAGTCAGATTACACTAGCATTTGTGTATATTGCTTTTAGAAATGTTATACATTTATTTATAGTTGAAAAAGAAAACATAAAATATAAAAGGTTACTTTTCATCTTGTCATACAGATTTGCAATCAATTTTTAAAAAAAAGTACTAGTTTTAAAATGGTTATCAAACCCATCTTTTTTAGAAAATATGGATTTAGATTTTTATTAATCTAAATTATTTGAAGGTATAATAGTCTAGATTAGTTTAGTAATACAACAGATTCAATTTTGAGCGATACTTTTGTTTACCCAACTCTTAAAAATATTTGACGTCTCTTTTAAGCAAATTACATATTAGTCCCTTTTTTATATTATATATAACCCTTTTTAAAAGATGTAATTGTATTGAGAAAAAAGAGGTGTAAGTGTGATTTCAGCAAATTTTATGGGATTTTAGATTAATTTACTTTAATATTTCTCTCTTTATGTGTTTGGAATTGTGGTAATTGTGATGTAAGTAACTTGGGTTTTTAGGTAACAAGGTTCTCTTTCCTAGCGTTTCAATTTGATGGCAGTAAGTTTTTCTCACATAAACTGCCATACTATTTCTTATGGACTTTGGGTAAAATTCATACAGGGGCAACGAATCGTCCCCAGGAGCTTGATGAAGCAGCACGAAGGAGACTTACTAAAAGGCTTTATATTCCCCTACCATCCTCAGGTGCTAATCATGATTCTGCATATTTTTAGATAAACTCTTCCATCACCCAGGTGACTAACATTTTGGTATTGGACGTAAAGAAGCAAGAGCTTGGATTGTACGTAACCTTCTACAGAAAGATGGACTATTCAATCTTTCAAACGAGGAAATGGATATCATATGCATCTTAACGGAAGGTGTGCGTTTACACGAGTTATTTGCAATATCTTCTAAATACAGCAGTTTGATTGTTGGTTTAATTATTTTAATAAAAAGAAATCAAAATCCTTTGGTTTCGAGTGATTGATTTCCTTTGCTTTCACTCGGTAACTTTTCTAGGTTATTCAGGATCAGACATGAAAAACTTAGTGAAGGATGCTTCTATGGGACCCCTAAGAGAGGCTTTAAAACAAGGCATAGAAATTACAAAGTTGAAAAAGGAGGATATGCGAGGAGTAACTCTTCAGGTATGCAGAATGCACCATGTGCCTAAACCTGTAAAATTCTCAGCTTAATTTTAAAACGATTTACAGGTAACTCAAATTGTGTAGGACTTCGAGAACTCCCTCAGAGAGGTGAGGCCTTCTGTTTCCCCAAATGAACTTGGGACGTATGATCAATGGAACAAGCAATTCGGAAGCTTATCATTGTAGTGGCATGTTTCATCACTGTATGTATGGTGACAAATATCACAGACTAGTCAGAGATGGTAGCAACTACCTAGATAGACCTGTACCTTAATGCTTGCGCTATGGTAAACTTTATGTTAATCTAATTACACTGCTTGCACAACCCATTGCCTGTAAAATTCCACTGGCGCAAGAAGTGGCATGCTGACCACCTTTTAAGATTTAATATTTCAAGCTCCACAGCATGTTTTGCAGGGCCTTTTCTTTGTGATGGTGATTACAAACATGTTCAATGAGCCAGGATTAGCTAATAGGTTCTTATTTTTCATTTGAATTTCTCTTGTTTAATAAAATAAGAATTTGAAAATTTCTTATTTTTATGTAGATAGAAATAAAAATAAAATCAGTTTCATAAAAATAATCAAAAGAATTTATTTAATCATAAAATAATGTCGTGGCGGTTTTAATTAAGATCCCTTTGTAACAATTTATTCTTTAAACGTTTCATTAATCTTTTGGTTGAAATTAATTTACTTATATTTATCAATTTTTTTTAGTAACTTGATGTAGACAGAAGTGTACGCAGATTTGTGACCAAATTGAGTTTAAGTATTTTTATTACGGGTGGATAAAATTAAGTAAATTGAACTAAATTGTGAAATAATTATATCATGTTATATTTAAAATATTGAACTATTTATAATAAAAATTGAATTCATCAATTTTATATTCAGTTTTAAAAAGTTAAATTTCTAAAATTAGTTGGTTAGTTTTTTATTAATTTAAAATTACTTCATTTTTGATGAAATGCATAACTAGTTGAAAATCGAGATGAGTTGAGTTAGTTTCTTATTAATTTAAAATTACTTCTATTAATGAGATGCATAGTCAAATAGGTTGAAAATTGAGATGGGTTGATTTAGATTGAAGGTTGAGATAGATTGACCTGAAAAAGTCTAGATCAGTTGGTTTGAGTGTTAGATATATTATATTTATTTTATCTTTATTTTTTATATTTTGTTAGTTTGTTACTATTTTTATTTGTAATTTGGATTTAGTTTTTATTTCTTTATTATAATTTGAGGACATGTATATTCAACATATGAGAGATTAATTTTATAGATAACTTTCATTATATTCAATATGATATCTAGAGTTAAAAAAATTGAGGAAAAATAATTGTTGCCTTTGTCACTACACCTATCGTTGTTGGCAACATTGCCATCTACTATTCTTGACGACATTATCGTCTACTGCCGTCGTCTAGTGCTGCCACTATTGGAGTTCCAGTTTTGATCGACGATTAGATGATTTTGTTTGTCTCAGCTAGGTGACCACCATGCCATCAACGACACCTTAGTCGGAGCTCTTACGCGCTCTTAGCCCTTTTTTAAGTTGTGGATTTGTTCCTTTTTTTGTCATGCATGGTGACACGTCTCGTCTCCTCTTAAACACCGATTCAGAGCGTCAAGGTTGCTCTTTTTCCTCTTTCAGGTTTGTCATGCATGGTCGCACGTCCCATCTCCTCTCAAGCAGCTATTAAAAGCATTAATGTTGCTGTTTTTTCCTCTTTCAGGTGCCTTGATTATAGAATCTTGGATTATTAAGGTTTATCTCTCTTGTTCATCCATGACTTTTTCCGTTGTTGTCTCTTCTGACCAACTTTTTGTCACCATTGCATTTGAACCATCCATATATGTATTTTCTCTCATGGCAAAGATGACTTTTTGTTAGTTCATTTATAATCGTGGTGACTCCTCAACAATGATCTTTTTATCCACTAGATATCAATAATGCATTCTTTAATGACGATTTACAAGAAGGGATTTACAAGGAACAACCTCCTAGATTGGTTGCCTAGGGGAGTCTTCTGGGTTGATATTTCGTTTTCTATGTTGTCTTCGCAAATCATTAACAATTTGGGATCACTCAAGTGCAGAAACATATATTTTCACTAAGTGATTAGGGATTATATTAGTAATGAGCTTGATATATACGATTTATATGCACTAAATTGAGGAGAGTATTAGATATATTATATTTATTTTATCTTTATCTTTAGTTAGTTTGTTATTATTTTTTATTTGTATTTGGGGTTTAGCCTATATTTCTTCTATTATAAATATTAGTGTATATTAAAAAAAATGGGAGATTAATCTTGTACATAGTTTTTACCATATTCAACAAAGCTAAAAGGTTGTGATGAGTTAGCCTGGATGAAGGATGTGACAAATTGAGTCGGGTTGAAGGTCTAGACAAACAAGGTTAGGCAATGATCGAAATTTGACATAGTCAACCACTCTCTCTATTTTTTGCATTTTATTACACTTTCCAGCAACTTAAGTCTTGGCCAATGATGATAGAAGAGTGGCCTTAGTGCCCCATTTTCTCAAAGATTTCCAAAGACAAGAAGCACCGCCTTTATATTATAGTAGTTTTTGTTTTTGTTCATCTAATCTAGTACCTTTCTTTAGGACTTCTTTTAAGTGCTTAACCTTATTTTCTTACCATTTAATTTCTTGCTTGTCTTCTTGGTTTTCTTGGTTTTCTTGGTTTTGTCACACATAAATTCCTTTAGCAAAGCCTTTATTACTTTTAGACATTTTCTTGCTTTTTCTTTGGACTCCATCTTCTCGGTTTTGTGCATTATTTGTGGTGTAGACTCTTTTTTTTTTGGTTAGCCAATATCTTTGAGGTAGCACCCTAGGCGGTGGAGACCGAAGGGGAGCTTGAAGTCTAGAGTGGTAGCCAAGAAGAAAAGAGTGAAACACTTAGGAGGAAGAACCATTTGTTTATATTTCTTTGCTTTATATTTGATTCCTTTTTGCATTGTAAGTTTCAACCTTGTTATGTGTCTTGGAGGAGTCTTTGGTGCTCAATCCCATCTCCTAACAAGGATATCTAAACGTTAGTGATTTGCAGTTTTTAGTTGATTAGGTTGGAGGAACCAAAGTTCTTCTAACTTAGTCACTAGATCGTGCTTTCTTTAACTATGTTAGCTTAGTGTGTGTCTACTTTTATTTCAATTTTAATTCCCTTTGAGAAGTTTGGAGTAAGAGTACCTAAGGTAAGCTTGGACTAGGAAAGACTTGATTCTTAAGAAATCCTTTGTGATTCACCTCTCTTTCTTGGAAGTGAACTTTGGTATCTTTTGCTTCCTTAAGTCTCTTAAGGAATTTCTTTTGAAATACAAATAATGTGTTTGTTGAAGTGCTTGAAAAATACTAGAAGGAGGTTGAATAATGTTTTTGGAAAACGTTTTTCGCAACCCTTATGATATAACATGTTATTAAGCGTGTGAAATATTCTTTTAAAAGCTTAGACCTTCGACTTTAAATATCTTGATATACTTTGATAAGGTTGTGTGCTAATCAAAATGTTTCTAATGCAGTGTTTTGTAAGAAATTCCTTTAAAAAGAAGGAATCATTTAGCTTGGAAGTTCTTGTATTTTTAAATATAATTCTCAACTGCAGGTTTTTCAAGAGAATCATTTAGTAAAGAGAAGAGAAAATAATACAAGATATTTTATACTGGTTCGCTCCAGCTGAGCTACGTCTAGTCTCCTCCATAGAGGGTTTCACTATAATCTTCACACGCTTACAAATGAGTATTAGCAATACTCTTAGTAATCAGCTACCTCGCCGAGATTTCTTCTAAGTATTAGCACCACCCCTAGAACTCAACACCATGTCGATATTTCCTTTGAGTATTCTCACCGCTCTTGGTACTCAGCTCCTTGCCGAGATTTTCTTTAAGTATTCAAACTACTCTTGATACTAGACTACTGCACCTAGATTCCTCAACTCAAAAGAGTTCAGTTGTAAGTATTTAAATTCTCTTCAGAATTGCAATCAACGATTGCTTACAAGTAGTTCAGACTAAATCTCTTTACGAGAGAATTTGATTACAATACAATGCAGTCTAAATACTCGTAAGTGTTTCTCTCTTCTCTCTTACAGTTGTAAGAAATTTGACGCTTAAGCTCAAGAGTATTTCTTTCTCTTTTTTTTTTCTTTTCTTCAAGTGAGATGTATTCTTTTCTTTGAGCTCTTTTTCTCTCTTCTCTTTAGGATGGATATGTTGTTGTAAGCTTTTCTTTTTCACTTTGTCTATCCTTTATCTTATCCTCTTGATTTTCTTCTTGAGAGATCTTCTACTTATAGGCTTCATGATTTGTTGTCCATTAGACTGAGTTTGAAGTTTGTAGCCTTGATACTTGTGTTTTCTCTTTCTTCTTTTCAGAACAGCCGTTGTGTAAGTCAACTTTGTCAGAGCAGACATGCTTTTTCAGTCCTTTACTTGAAGTAAGTTGTACGATCTTTTTAGACTTTACTTCAAGAGAGGAACATTTCGTGATTATCTTCTTTGTCTCTAACGTCCACATTTTGATATTTGATCTGTAGCAGTGTGGATGCGTGTAAAATAGCTTATATGCAAAATTAGAGTAAACTATGCATGGAACAAATATGACTTTTCTTATCACTTTTGTTGTTTTTGAAATGTGAGCATTTAATGTCATTTAATGTTTGCTCAGAAAAACAATGTGTTTTTTGATTTCCTACCATTAGGTAGCATTTTATAATTAATTTCTTTTAAAATGAAGAT